CCGTACCCCTCCCACTCCACGAGATACTGCAGACCCCCCATCCGATGTCTCGAATCCACGATGGACCGGACTGAGTACGCCGGAGCCCCCTCGATGTCCAGTGGGGGCGGAGGAGCCTCTCGTATCTCATTCTCCTGGAGTGGACCAGCTACCACCGGCCTGAGGAGAGACACATGGAACGAGGGGTTAATGCGATAATCATTGGGCAGTTGTAACCTGTAACATACCTCGTTCAATCTCCTCAGGACTTTAAATGGCCCCACAAACCGCCGACCCAGCTTCCGGCAGGGCAGGCGAACAGGTAGGTTTCGAGTCGAGAGCCAGACTCGATCTCCAGGTGCATACACTGGACCCTCACTGCGGTGGCGATCAGCGCTCGCCTTATGCCTACGGATAGCCCGCTGCAGATGGACATGCGCAGCCTTCCATGTTTCCTCCGAGCGCCGAAACCATTCATCCACCGCAGGAGCCTCGATCTGGCTCTGATGCCAGGGTGCCAGAACCGGCTGATACCCCAACACACACTGAAAAGGAGTCAGATTAGTGGAAGAGTGGCGAAGTGAGTTCTGGGCAATCTCTGCCCAGGGGATATACCCCGACCACTCCTCCTGCTGGTCCTGGCAATAGGACCTCAGAAACCTACCCACATCCTGGTTTACTCTCTCCACCTGCCCATTACTCTCAGGGTGGAAACCCGAGGTAAGGCTAACCGAGACCCCCAAGCGTTCCATAAACGCCCTCCAGACTCTAGAGGTGAACTGGGGACCCTGATCAGACACTATATCCTCAGGTACCCCGTAGTGCCGGAAGACGTGAGTAAACAGGGCCTCAGCAGTTTGTAGGGCAGTAGGGAGACCCGGCATTGGAATGAGACGGCAGGCCTTAGAAAACCGATCCACAACGACCAAAATAGTGGTATTCCCCTGGGAGGGAGAAGGTCCGTGACAAAGTCCACCGATAGGTGAGACCACGGCCGTTGTGGAACTGGTAGGGGTTGTAACTTCCCCCTGGGCAGGTGTCTAGGTGCCTTATACTGAGCGCACACCGAGCAGGAGGAGACATAAACCCTCACGTCCTTTGCCAATGTTGGCCACCAGTACTTTTCACTAAGGCAGTGCACTGTCCGGCCGATACCAGGATGACCAGAGGAGGGTGACGTGTGAGCCCAATAAATCAGTCGATCACGGATCTCGAGCGGCACATACTTCCGCCCCTCCGGACACTCTGGAGGAGTAGGGTCGGTACGTAACGCCCGCTCGATCTCCGCATCGACCTCCCACACCACCGGTGCCACCAGACAAGACTCCGGAAGTATGGGAGTGGGCTCAATGGACCTCTCCTCTGTGTCATATCGCCGGGACAGGGCGTCTGCCTTAACGTTCTGTGACCCTGGTATATAGGTGAGCTTAAAGACAAACCGGGCCAGAAACATGGCCCACCTAGCCTGACGAGGGTTCAGTCTCCTAGCTGCCCGGATGTACTCCAGGTTACGATGGTCAGTCAGAATGAGAAAAGGGTGTTGAGCCCCCTCAAGCCAATGCCTCCACACCTTTAGGGCTTGGACCACAGCTAGCAGCTCCCTGTCCCCCACGTTGTAATTACGTTCCGCCGGGCTGAGCTTCTTAGAGTAAAAAGCACAGGGACGGAGTTTAGGAGGTGTGCCCGAGCGTTGAGACAGTACAGCCCCAATACCCGCCTCTGACGTGTCCACCTCCACTTGGAACGCCAAAGAGGGGTCCGGATGTGCCAGCACCGGAACCGAGGTGAACAGGTCCTTCAGATGTCTAAACGCCCTGTCCGCCTCGGCCGACCACTGCAAACGCACCGGGCCCCCCTTTAGCAGGGAGGTGATGGGAGCTGCTACCTGTCCAAAACCCCGGATAAACCTCCGGTAGTAATTGGCAAAACCCAAAAACCGCTGCACCTCCTTAACCGTGGTGGGAGTCTGCCAATTACGCACGGCTGAAACGCGGTCAATCTCCATCTCCACCCCTGACGCGGACAACCGATGTCCCAGGAAGGAGATGGACTCCTGGAAAAACAGGCATTTCTCAGCCTTCACATACAAGTCATGCTCCAACAGCCTACCCAACACCGGACGCACCAGGGCCACATGCTTGGCTCGTGTAGCAGAGTATATTAGAATGTCGTCAATATACACCACTACACCCTGCCCATGCAAATCCCGGAAAATCTTGTCCACAAATGATTGGAAGACTGAAGGAGCATTCATTAACCCGTATGGCATGACGAGATACTCATAGTGACCCGAGGTGGTACTAAATGCTGTTTTCCATTCATCTCCTTCCCTAATGCGCACCAGGTTGTAAGCGCTCCTGAGATCCAATTTTGTGAAGAATCGCGCTCCGTGTAATGACTCCGTCATACTTGCAATCAGAGGGAGAGGATAACTGTATTTAATAGTAATCTGATTGAGACTACAGTAATCAATACACGGGCGCAAACCTCCATCCTTCTTCTTCACAAAAAAGAAACTCGAGGACGCAGGAGAAGTGGAGGGCCGTATGTATCCCTGTCCCAGAGATTCGGCGATGTATGTTTCCATAGCCGCCGTCTCCTCTTGAGACAGAGGATACACATGACTACGCGGAAGTGCAGCATCTGCCTGGAGGTCTATCGCACAATCCCCCTGTCTATGCGGTGGTAATTGAGTCGCCCTCTTCTCACTGAAGACGAGTGCCAAATCATTATACTCAGGAGGAATGTGCAGTGCGGGCACTTGGTTCGGACTTTCCACCGTTGTCGCCCCTACGGAAACACCTACACACCGCCCGACACACTGATCAGACCACTCCCTGAGAGCCCTCTGTTGCCACGAAATGTTGGGGTCATGAGATATTAACCAAGGAAGCCCCAGCACCACGGGAAACGCAGGAGAGTCGATCAGATACAACTGTATAATTTCCTCATGACCCCCCTGCGTCTTCATCTTAAGTGGCGCCGTGACCTCCCTAATCAATCCTGACCCCAAAGGACGGCTGTCTAGGGCATGGATAGGGAAAGGCACATCTACTGGTAGGAGGGGAATACCTAACTTATAACAGAAATTGCGATCAATAAAATTCCCAGCTGCGCCTGAATCGACTAGCGCCTTATCCTGGGAGGTGAAACCTGGGGAAATTCAACTTGGATACACAAGTGGACAACAGAGAGCTCTGGGTGAGTTGGGCGCTTACTCACCTGGAATGACTCATCAGTGCGTGACCTGCTGCCTCGATTCCCAGGAGACCCTCCCCAGCACCGAACCGCAGTGTGTCCTCTACGGCCACAGTTGGTGCAGGGGACGGCCTCTCTCCGGGTCTCTCTCCTCCTCTCTCTAGCACCAGCACCCCCGAGCTCCATAGGGCTCGGCTCGGAGGTGCTGGGGGATGGAATGGACGGCCCCAACTCCGGACGTCCGCGGGTAGCCAGCAGGGTATCCAGACGGATCGACATGTCCACCAACTGATCGAAGCTCAAGTTGGTGTCCCTGCAGGCCAACTCTCGACAAACGTCCTCCCGTAGGCTGCACCTATAGTGGTCGATGAGGGCCCTCTCATTCCATCCCGCATTGGCCGCCAGAGTCCGGAAATCCAGGGCGAAATCTTGCGCGCTCCTCTTCCCCTGTCGGAGGTGGAACAGACGCTCACCCGTCACTTTCCCCTCTGGGGGATGATCGAAAACCGCCCTGAAGCGGCGGGAGAACTCCGCATAACTGATGGTGGCGGCGTCTATTCCCCTCCATTCGGCATTGGCCCACTCCAATGCCTTGCCGGATAGACAGGAGATGAGGGCGGAAACGCTCTCGTATCCCGAGGGCGCCGGGTGAATGGTTGCCAGGTAGAGTTCTACTTGAAGCAGGAAACCCTGACACCCGGCTGCGGTGCCATCATAAGCCCTCGGGAGCGAGAGCCGAATCCCACTGGACTCCGGAGATGGAACGATGGGTCTGGCCGATGGTGGTGGAATTGTAGGAGGAGGTGTGGGCAAACCTCCTCTTTCCCATCGGCTCAAAGTGTCCATCACATCCTGCATGGCGGTGCCGAGTCTTCGGATCATGGCGTCTTGGCTGCTGACGCGCTCCTCTAAAGACTCTGTCGGTACCGCTGGTCCTGCTGACTCCATGGTGGTGTGTTATTCTGTCAGGTGGTGATGTGTACGCGGCGAGTGAAGTCAGACGCAGGACACAGAGAATCAGGTTGACTACTTTACTGAGCGTTACGCACAAAACAAACGTCTCCAACACTGGAGGGAAAAACACCATATGCGTAAACCGAAGTAGTAGCTAGGCCGAACATCAAACAAGACAATGAACAATAACACACAAAACCCAAACGTGAAACAAGGGAACTTATATGCTAAACAATCAACACTAATAGGCAACAGGTGTACTAACTAGACAACACAAGACAAACACCGAAAACATCGATCGGCAGTAGCTAGTACTCCGGGGACGACGAACGCCGAAGCCTGCCCGAGCAAGGAGGAGGAGCAGCCTCGGCAGAATCCGTGACACCTAAGCATTGTTGTTCACTAGTTTACTCCAATTAGGGAAGGGGTGGTGGGGTTGTAAAGTAATAAAGGGAAATATATTGAAATGTAAAATAAAAAAAGACAAAACATTTAAGTGCCTTTGAACAGGGTATGGTTTTAGGTGCCAGGCACACCGGTTTGTGTCAAGAACTGCAACGCTGTTGGGTTTTTCACACTCAACTCAATATAAGGAAGGTGTTCTTAATGTTTTGTACACTCAGTGTAGATATGCAGGTATGTAAATGTGTCCACAGTGCGCAACATGAAATGTGAAGACCTCAGCAAAGTGAGTTGCGCAGTAAGGGAATTATGAATTGCGCAAAGGGGTAAGAATATGGAACCACGTTCCTGTCACTGATTCCACCACAACCCTGTATGTCCATATTTTGGTTTAATGGTTTCACATCCTCATGATGAGCTTGATCTTTCTTAACCTCTGCATTTGCATAGAAATAACTGCCTTCTATGGCAAAAGTAGTAACATCTGTAGCTGTGTACATCTGTGAGTGTGTGTGTGCTTAAAAGCCAAAGTTGTTCCTTCTGGTTTCAATGTGCCATGGGTACTCTAACACTGACCACGCTCTTGCTCCTGTTGCTGTTGACATCCACTGTGAGTTCTACTCTTTGTCCACACTAACTGTGTACTATTTTACATTACCTATCTCATACATCTTAATGTATTTTTTAAACCTCCACAGGGTTATGTTCTTTGTAATTACAGCACAACTGAATTGTTCACGTTTTTTTTTAAGGATTGATAGTATGTTTTTGTTCATGTAGATGTTTTTATTTTGGTGTATGAGAATAGTTGAACATGCTTTTCTCTGCATACTGTGTATACACAGAGTAATGGTGATGCCCAGCGCATTCCTGGCTTGAAGAAGGATGACTCATGTTCATGTCAGGTGAACAGTAGTGTCTGGGCGTTCCCTGCTATAAAGTTTGAGGGGGTGCTGCAGCTGATGCAGGACTGTGGCGACTCCCTGCAAAACCTCCAGGAACAGGTAAGGCGTGTTACAGTGGGCTAGGTGTATTACAGTGGGCTATGATTATGTTCTAAAATGTTTTCCTGTTCCACAAACAACATGACCCTGGATATGTGATCAAAATGATCTCTTTGGGTAATAAGAGTGTATTTTAAGTTGATTGATAGTTGAATTTCTCAACTGATTGTTAGGTGAAGCTGTCCAATGAGAGGCTTCCTCAGATCCTGGCCACCATTGAGAACGTGACAGCTCGCCTGGAGCCATACCAGTACCTGAACGACCAGGGTCTGTACACCGCCCTGCACCTGCGTCAGCTAGCCAAAGAACTGAGGGAGCTGGAGGAAGACATCAGCTCCATACACCAAGACAAGCCAAGTGATCAGACTCAGAAACTGACCCAAGAGGTACATTCAATATAGTTATCTTTAGTACACGTCATCTTGGCTAATCTTACATGATATCACAACAACAACAACCCTCTCAACCTACAGTTACATAGATGAATTACAACATGTTATACAATCTGGCCAAAGTGGTTATTCATGCATCTAAGATGGGGAAGAAATGAGCGCTTGCCAAGGTCTTTCTCTTGGTTGTCTAATGTGTAATGTGCTAATTACAGTGGGGAAAAAAAGTATTTAGTCAGCCACCAATTGTGCAAGTTCTCCCACTTAAAAAGATGAGAGAGGCCTGTAATTTTCATCATAGGTACACGTCAACTATGACAGACAAAATTAGAAAAAAATCCAGAAAATCACATTGTTGTCACGGTTTCGGCCGAGGCTGCTCCTCCTCCTTGCTCGGGCAGGCTTCGGCGGTCGTCGTCCCCGGAGTACTAGCTGCCACCGTTGTATGTTATCGATGTTTGTTTGGTTTTGTCTTCTTTGTACACCTGTTTCCTTTTAGTGTTAATTATGTCTCCTATAAGTTTCTCGTATTGTTAGTCGTGTGTTGTGTGTAATTGTTCCGCCTGTCAGTAGGTGGCGTGTTTATTTTGCTCCTATGTTTGGAGAGTAGACGCACTGTTTGCGTATCAGTAGTATTTAGGTGTTTTGCGCACTGTTTGCGTAATCGCTCGCCTCCGGGCTCTTTTGAGGCCCGTTAGTTTGTATTGTTGTCGTTTACTAAAGTCTGTTGGACGAAGCTTCTGTGTCCTGCGCCTGATTCCTACACCACATCCACATTCAGCTCGTGACAATTGTAGGATTTTTTATGAATTTATTTGCAAATTATGGTGGAAAATAAGTATTTGGTCAATAACAAACGTTTCTCAATACTTTGTTATATACCCTTTGTTGGCAATGACACAGGTCAAACGTTTTCTATAAGTCTTCACAAGGTTTTCACACACTGTTGCTGGTATTTTGGCCCATTCCTCCATGCAGATCTCCTCTAGAGCAGTGATGTTTTGGGGCTGTCGCTGGGCAACACGGACTTTCAACTCCCTCCAAAGATTTTCTATGGGGTTGAGATCTGGAGACTGGCTAGGCCACTCCAGGACCATGAAATGCTTCTTACGAAGCCACTCCTTCGTTGCCCGGGTGGTGTGTTTGGGATCATTGTCATGCTGAAAGACCCAGCCACGTTTCATCTTCAATGCCCTTGCTGATGGAAGGAGGTTTTCACTCAAAATCTCACGATACATGGCCCCATTCATTCTTTCCTTTACACGGATCAGTCGTCCTGGTCCCTTTGCAGAAAAACAGCCCCAAAGCATGATGTTTCCACCCCCATGCTCCACAGTAGGTATGGTGTTCTTTGGATGCAACTCAGCATTCTTTGTCCTCCAAACACGACGAGTTGAGTTTTTACCAAAAAGTTATATTTTGGTTTCATCTGACCATATGACATTCTCCCAATCCTCTTCTGGATCATCCAAATGCACTCTAGCAAACTTCAGACGGGCCTGGACATGTACTGGCTTAAGCAGGGGGACACGTCTGGCACTGCAGGATTTGAGTCCCTGGCGGCGTAGTGTGTTACTGATGGTAGGCTTTGTTACTTTGGTCCCAGCTCTCTGCAGGTCATTCACTAGGTCCCCCCGTGTGGTTCTGGGATTTTTGCTCACCGTTCTTGTGATCATTTTGACCCCACGGGGTGAGATCTTGCGTGGAGCCCCAGATCGAGGGAGATTATCAGTGGTCTTGTATGTCTTCCATTTCCTAATAATTGCTCCCACAGTTGATTTCTTCAAACCAAGCTGCTTACCTATTGCAGATTCAGTCTTCCCAGCCTGGTGCAGGTCTACAATTTTGTTTCTGGTGTCCTTTGACAGCTCTTTGGTCTTGGCCATAGTGGAGTTTGGAGTGTGACTGTTTGAGGTTGTGGACAGGTGTCTTTTATACTGATAACAAGTTCAAACAGGTGCCATTAATACAGGTAACGAGTGGAGGACAGAGGAGCCACTTAAAAAAGAAGTTACAAGTCTGTGAGAGCCAGAAATCTTGCTTGTTTGTAGGTGACCAAATACTTATTTTCCACCATAATTTGCAAATAAATTCATTAAAAATCCTACAATGGGATTTTCTGGAATTTTTTTCTCAATTTGTCTGTCATAGTTGACGTGTACCTATGATGAAAATTACAGGCCTCTCTCATCTTTTTAAGTGAGAGAACTTGCACAATTGGTGGCTGACTAAATACTTTTTTCCCCCACTGTATGTCTCTTCACTGTGTCTCCCAGATAGGTAAGGTGCGTAAGGACGTAGATAAGATGCATTTGTCAAACACCTTTAACATGAAGACAGTGAAGGAAAAACTTCGCTCGCTGAAGAATGGCGTGGAGTCCTGTAGGACAATCCCAGAGGAGTTCATAAGTGAGTGTTGTGTTTATGTATGTTTCTCTGAGATAGCTAAAATATGTTATGTATTTTTTGTTGTTGATTTATTGCCATCATTTTGACTTTTATTGATGTAGAAAATCAATCTTGCCCTGACTGTATGGCCATCTGATTGCCTCCATTGTCTCTTATCCCAGACAAGCAAGGTGTTTGCTCTCAACGCATCATGTCCAACATCAGCACCCCTGTGGTCACAAAGACCAGCCCGTATGGCAAAAGCTATACGTCTGGTTCCTGGGGTCGCCAGGCCAAGCAGGGCATGGAAAACCAGGAGGGTAGTGGGGAGTTCTACTGGGTTCAGCCCCTCGTGAGCGGCAACAGACTGGGGAACATCGTTCGACGCTACCGCTCCTACGACGACTTCATTGCCTCCAAGAACCATGAGGATGTGTCGGTGGCACCGTCCTACAGCCATGCTAATGCCATCCAGGGCTCTGGCACGATGGTGTATGGTGAGGCAGTGTTTTATAACTGTTACTACTCCCCTGAGCTGTGCCGCTATGACCTACAGACCAAGGTCACAAGTCGTTTGAAGATACCCGACGTCGGTACCAACAACCAGTTCCCCTACTGCTACTACAACTGCAAAGACTGGACGGACATCGACTTTGCTGCTGATGAGACTGGCCTGTGGGTCATCTACAGCACACTGGGTAACCATGGGAACCTGGTGCTGAGCCGGCTAGACAGCGAGGCGTTCAACGTGACACACACTTGGACCACGCGCCTCTTCAAGAAATCAGTGACTAATGCCTTCATGGTGTGCGGCGTGCTGTATGCCACCCGTTACATTGACCAGTTCCATGAGGAGGTGTTCTATGCGTTTGACACAGCAACAGGTAAAGATGACAACACCCTGGCTCTTCCCATGGAGAAGATTGAGAACGGTGTGGCCAGTCTGAGCTACAACCCCATCGACAGGCAGCTCTACATGTACAATGATGGTTACCTTCTGTCTTACCAAGCTATCTTTTAAAGTACACCTTGTACATGATGTAGAAACCGTGTGTACTGTGTGACAAAGCATTGGCTAGAATTAGGTTTTAATTTAGTTGAGGTGCCATAAACACAATTAACAGACTGAACTGAGCTCTAAATTAGTTTATTCAGTCAATATTTTTTCTCAATGGGGGAATTCACTTTCATTTCCCCAAAGCTACTTAGGTAGACATGTAACACACACACACACACACTGATGATATGATCTCTCGATGTAGTCTTGAAGTATCCATAATATAGTGCCCTTGTTCCCTGAAAATAAATAAATAGAAAATTCCACTTGTTATGAGCCCTTTTTTCCAAAATAGAAAGTATTATTTCTATAACTCTTGTTCTGCAAATTGTACCTGAATCTTTTTCAGTTTGACTTCATTTTCAGCCTCTCTCCTACATCTCTGCATCTAGCGACAGGTCCAAAGGACTGGGAGGGGAACTGATGGGTTCACTGGGAGATTCCGGGTCATTCTGGTCGGGATCGTCTAAAAAACAGAACATAGCAAAATAATACTGTTTTATGTTCACATTCAAACATAGATATCAATATATCAACAAAGCTTCGTGGAGATATCAGTAACTTGGTATGGCCAGTACAGGGTGCTTGAAGGACTAATAATGAGATCAGAACATGTAGGCAAAGCTAGCCACACTGACCTGAGTCGTAAATCACCTGCCTCTCTAGGAGCTGTCGTGTCTTCCTTAGTTTGTACTCCAAAAACTGTCGCTCTGTACACACAAACAACGCACAACAATGCTTCAAAATCAACATTCTGTACAGCATTGTGGATATGTCCGATCAAAATGGAGTAGGACCTATGTGAAACGGACCTACTCTGTGCCGTCGGTCTCTCTCCTTGTTCAACTCATTGTTCAGGTTGTCCACATCTCTCCTCCGTAACTCCAGCTGAATGTGTTAACACATGATGTATATTTTATTGTGTTACTATTTCCTTATTTTTATTTTGCAAATGTTCTGACTTTTTAACTCTACATTGTTGGGAAAGGACTCGAAAGAAAACATTTCACAGTAGTCTACACCTGTTGTATTCGGCGCATGTGACAAATACAATTTGATTTGATGTACAGTTATCTAGCCAGGCTGTATATTCCATAGAATATCCTCAAAGGAGGTGTGGTTGATTAGTCTCACCTGTTCTCTAAGGGTCTTGACCTCTCTGACCAGCCTTGTCACACACACGGCCTGCTGCTGATAGGCTGCCAGGGCCTTGGTCCTCCTGAGAGAGATAGAGGAGACAACAATTACCTTCTGACAGGGCACAACAATCATAGTGTGTGGTCTCATGTTATAATGATCCTCTGCCAGTGTACATAAAGAAACACTTGCTATTTATTATGTTACACCATGTAATAACACTGAGACATTGCTGTGTAACCTATGTGTTACTTTATATAGTCTCTGCTCTAATAAACAATGTTAGGGGTGGTCTCTATGGACACAGTGGGGGAGTGTCATGTTGTGTGCTTAATCAACTCACGCCATCTCCACCTCCAGCTTGAGCTCCGGCAGCATCAAGGAAAACCCTGGGTTACAGCTCTCTGACTCTGGAGAATGAGAGGATGGTAAAGGCTGGATTTATTGATATGACCAGTATTGAGCTCCCTGTGTGGTAAATGTCAGGTGGCTCACCTGTGGTGAAGGGAGGCAGATAACTCATTAGGGTGGTGTTGGTCCACTCATCCCTCACTTCTCTGATGAAAGATAGAAAGAGGTGAGATGTAAACAACATGTTGAACATGCAGACTGGTGGTGGTGATGATGTGTTTCAGTACCTGAACTTATCGTTGAGTAGGGCGTCGTCAGTGAGTCCACAGCGTGAGAAGAAGTCCACCGCGTCTGTGTCAGCGTGAGCGAGGAACGCATCGTATGCCCCACACACTGACTGGGTCTTCAGCAGCTGGCCACCACAGTGGAATAACGAAAACAAAGGTAAGCTTTTATAATAGTGTACCATCATCAAAAACATGCTGGTAGAACTGGAACTGACAGGTACTGTAGAACCATACAGTAGTAGTTCAGTGTAAAGATCTGCAAATCCTCTCATGGCCAGCAGGGGGGCCTCTAACCACACAGAGACAGAGAAGCATCAGAGAGGCTGTATGAATGACTGTGGCAGCAGCCAGACAGAGCGCTGCCTTGATTTGGCTGGCACACCCAAACTCCTGACATAATAACAGACTGCTGGTTCATAGTTAAAGAAAATGTACATTCTGTATAGTTCACGCTCTGTGGTTACAGTATTTTGACCTTTCATTATGTACAACTTTGCCTGGCAGTTATTTTTAATCAAGTTACTACTTACTATTTTTCAAACCAGTGTAGCCCAACATCACAGAGGGAATTGCTTCTAATTTCAGGTTCTCACTAAAGCACGGTTCACATAGCTACTGGGAGACTCTACTGTATATTCACACTGAGCTGACAAACACATGCCCCAGCCCCACCCTACCTCTATAATGTAGCGACCCACTCCACAGTTCCGATAGCGCTTCCTGGTAGCCATCAGAGATAACTGTAGCACCTTCTCTCCTGTTGACCTGGCAAGGTGAAAGAGAGGTCAGACCTTCATGTTTCCCAGTAGTGTTGTTGGTTGCTTTCACTCAATGTTGTCATCCCGACTCATGTCCATATTTCAGCCAATAGCCATTACTATAGCGGTAATGCACATGATGGCCACACTACTATCATCCCCATTACCAGTAATGCTCTTATACTCCTGCATTGTATGCATTAGTGATGAGCCCACCAGTTATGGCTATTAGCTAGCAAGCATCTATGCCTGAGTTGATCCCTCTCCTTATGGCCATTAACATCTCGGTTAATACTGCTTGATATGTCCATAAGTAACCACTGGGGGTAATACTTCCACATTGGATTAATATTACTGTTCCTATTTTAAGGACCACGTTCAATGGACTGGTGAGGAGCTAAAGCAGCAGAGCACTGTGTCCTCTGTTTCTCACTCTGCCACCACTGTTCACTTCACTGGACAAACTGTGAAAGTGTGGAGGCTGGGATCAGGATGGCAGAGGGGAGAGGTGGAAGCCATTGGCAGGGAGAGGAGAGGGGAGGGAAGCAGTACGCTGCTGCTGCTCTCTCATTGGGAGGTAATTACACACTACCTCCCTCACAGCTCAGCACAGTGTTCAGTTCAGCCATCCTCTGGAAATAGATGCAGGCGAGCCGAGAGGGTGTGGGAGGGATGCAGGCCTCAAAGGGTGGGACCCAGACCTGACTTCCAGAAGGGGACTTTTAATGACAAGGCTTCTTTCAGTTTGAAGATGTACTTTTTTTTTTTTTTCACTCTTTAAAAAACCTGGAAGGAATCCACCTAGTCCAAGAGGAGAGGATGGGTGGAAATGTGAATGCCTGCTAGAAACTGTACCCAGTCTGTTCCCTATCCTGACTGGGTCATTGTGTTTAAGGGCATCTCCCGGACGGCCTTGGGGCTAAAACGTTCCGTTTTAATATGTCCTACCTGATTCATAAAAATGTGGGTTCAAATAGAATGTTGAAAACATGGTTTATACCCTGATGTAAATGCATTTTCTTCTGTGCAAAAACAGAGACAGGTGCTCAGGAATTCCTATGCTGTTGACATTGAACTGAAAAAGGATAAATAACAGGAAACAGATTTTGGGAGAGAAATGTAGATGAAGACAGACAAGGAAATTATGTTCCTGTGGCAAAACCTGGGCTAGAGCTCAGCAAAAAGTCTAGTATCTCTTTGAGGGTGTAACCCAGGGTTTCACAAACTCGGTCCTTGGGAACCCAAGGGGTGCACGTTTTGGTTTTTGCCCTAGCACGACACAGCTAATTCAAATAATCAACTAATCATCAACCTTTGATCATTTGAATCAGCTGTGTAGTGTCAGGGCAAAAACCAAAACGTGCACCGCTTGGGGTCCCGAGGACCGAGTTTGGGAAACGATGGTGTAACCTGTCCCAAAATTTGACCGAAAACTCCATCACCTCTCCCAGGATCATATTCCTCTGTTACATTTTGACTGTAATCTTTGTTCATTTTACCAAAGTACTGCATATCCCTGTGTACCTGATGTCTTATGCCTGCCCTCATACTGCTACTCACAATGTCTTTAACTCATACGCTGCAGCCCCTACGATGAGTGACTCAGCTCCCACAGCTGTGAGCGGGAGCTGTTGGTCTTCTACTGGAGCCTCTCTCTGTGCCCTCCGCTCCCGTGCCCTGGCCAGGAACTCCTCCAGCCCTGTACAGAAGGTCTCCCACGCAGACCTGCGGGGATGGAACACTGCACAGTTAGACACACAGAGATGGACTGACTGGGCCAAATAGTTCTACTACTATAAGAGGAATAAAGGTATGGCTACGTAATAAGACGCTCTTAGAAGCTAGGCCTAAAAGAACAGACACAATGAAGACAACTGTCACTATGAACGACAGACTGTTACACAAGCTATTGAGACACACTGAGGCACACAAGCTAGTAAACAAACACTACAAGGTTTTTCACTATAAAACACAAGAAGATATGTAGCCATGTCTCTGTTGTCTGATAATCAATCTGCAAAACGGTGTCTACGCACAGTTATATATCATAATGTTTCCATGCTCTAAAAGCTCTGAGCAGTAGTGTTTCAGCTCTCTACCACATCACCTTATACTTTGGGGTGCTTCAGTGCTCTGTAATAGAGTAACCTCATACTGTTCGGTATAGGTTTGTTTCTGCCCCTGTCATACAGCTGTCCTACAGGCAGGAACTGGGTAGTAGGTGTTTTTATATGGACTCTCCCTTCCAGGAAATGTCATCTCCAGAGCATCAGTGCTAATGTTAGTATGGCCTGCTCTGCTCTGCTCTGCTGCAGGGATGGGCAAGCTAAGCTCTAGTCGGACAAGTCAGAGCACTTGGCTGACAGCAGTGTCAGCCTTGGGAGTGGATATCCTCAAAGTCCCTTAATCTCATTATCTTTAATAGAGTCGCTCTTGTTAGCCGGGTCTCGCCTTGGGTTTACTTTGCCCTCATTTGTCATTCATGTCCATTAGCATCACATCAAAATGCAGAGACACAACCTTACAGCTATCAACACACTTACACTCACACATGCACTCTCACACGCACACCCACATATATGCGCACATGAACACACACACTGGAGGATATTGACACAACAAGCTGACAATTCACAGTCCTGAGAACACACTGAGACCATGCCACAACGTATGTAATACACTCAAACACAGTACGATACAACCCACTGGGCACAGACGTCAGTTCAACGTTTAGTTTTGATTTACATTTGATTGATTTGTCAACTAACGTGAATTCAAAGTAAAATTAAAATAAAAAATACAATCTAATTGGATTTAGGGTAAAAGTTGGGTCTGCCATGTCCTGTTATTCCAGAGCAGGGGTTCTTGTAGCCCCTTCTGTTTGTAAGTGTCTTTCAGGCCATCCCATTTAAGCACCATACAATCCTATCAGCTTTATGGTTCCCCTGAGGATCCACCTTTATATTCAGCTTTCTGTTGGTCTGATGAACTATAGTTGTTTGAAAATGGCCTGCCACAGATCATTATTTATTCATAGAATTGGTGGTCAATTCAACCCAGAATTCAGACCAATAAATATAATTTCCATGGCACTCACTACGGCAATGCATTTGGAAATGACTCCAATGTGCGTAAATCCCTTATTTCATTCATTCGTTTGTTTGTTCATTTGTTTGTTTGTTCATTCGTTTGTCTTAAATGCTTGAATTGTTTAGGGATTAGTGAGACTGACACTGGCATTCTAAGTCAGTGCTATAAGGATCCATCATGTATTAGTGTAAGCTCATGGATCAGCATCATTGAAAGGGCAGTACACCTGCTAATACCAAGAAGAGCTTTTAGAATTCAGGAGTGCTACAGTACTATGAGCCAATGTAACAGTGGGTCAGAGGCAGTGCAATGTGATGCATGAGTTACTGTAGCACTGTACCTGGGCTCTGTTCCCTCCTCGCCTTCTTCATGCTCATCAGCGCTGTCATCTGAACTGTCTTCTGATTCGCTGAATACTTGGAGGTATCGCCCCTCTGATTCTCTATCCCCATTTACCACTGCAGGGACAGGGGAGCTCACAGGTTCCCGTCTAGGACAGGGCAGTGTTCTGCTTCTGTACTCTTCTAAAACATCTGGAGAGGGGGGGGGGGGGGGGGGGGGGGGGGGGGGAGGGAGCGGGGGGAAAGAGAGGAGAGGAGCGGGGGGAGAGAGGAGCAGGGAGAAATAGGAGAGAGAGAGGCGCGGGGGGAAGAGGAGGAGAGGAGAGGGCGAAAGAGGGAGCAGGGGGAGAAAGATAGAGAGGAGCAGGGAGAGAGAGAGAGGAGCAGGGGGAAAGAGAGAGAGAGATGAGCAGGGGAAAGAGAGAGAGGGCAGGGGGGAAAGAGAGAGAAGACCGGGGGGATGAGGAGGGGAGAGGAGCAGGAGGGAAAGAGACGGAGCAGGGAGAAAGATAGAGAGGAGCAGGGAGAAATAGAGAGAGGAGCAGGGGGAAAGAGAGAGAGAGCAGGGGGAGAGAGAGGAGCAAGGGGGGAAGAGAGCGAGAGGAGCAGGGAGGGAGAGAGAGAGAAGCAGGGGGAAAGAGGAGCAGGGGAGCAGGGGGAAAGAGAGGAGCAGGGAGAAAGAGAGAGGAGCAGGGGGGAGAGAGAGATGAGCAGGGAAGAGAGAGAGAGAAGCAAGGGGGAGAGAGAGGAGCAGGGAGAAAGAGAGAGAGAAGCAGGGGGTGGAGAGAGAGGAGCAGGGAGAAAGAGAGAGAGGAGCAGGGGGAGAGAGAGAGAAGCAGGGGGGAGAGTGAGAGGTGCAGAGATAAAGAGAGAGAGAGAGTTGCTGAGACAGAGATGGAGCAGGACATTAATAGAACAGAGATTTCTGATGTCTATATCCAAAAAGGCCCACTTTAACTGTGTGAATAATGAACATACTGTAGAAAGTGAAGTATACCTGACTGTTGCCTGAGTAGGATAATAGTGTGCGTTCCATGGCTGTGTACCGTGTCATGGACGTCTCGAGGGCCAACATCAGGGAGAGACACATCAAACAGAGCAACCACTGAACTCAGGATATCCTTATTATCTACCTATGGAAAACACACACAGACTCATGAACACACACACACACACACACACACACACACACACATAGCCATATTTGATAAATTGAATAAATATCCCACCCTTCCATATCCTACTCTTCCAAGACACTGAGATTTAGCCGGATTTTAAAGCACAATCAATTAAGAATGAGAGTTCTGGGACAAGTAAAGGCCAGAGGCAGGAGGAATACTATTGATGATAATATGACCTATATGCATAAAATCAGCATCTGTACAGACAGGCTCATAAGAGGGGGGAAAAGCCAGGGAAATGGGAGACAGAGAAGACGAAGGGGAGGAAAGACGGAATATCATAATGAAAACTGAAGTATGAAAGAGAGGAAATGACATGGGTGACAAGAAAGAGATCATGGGAGAAGGTGTGTGTGCCTGCACTTGTGTGTGTACAGTTGTAAGATCTTAATTTGATCACTCTTTTGTTGCTGAGAATGAAATGCAGATGAGCTTCATGATTCACATAAATTCACTGAAAACCTGCACTAACACATGGTTATATTAACACTATTGCACTTTTCATGTAGCCTAAATTTTGCCAGCTAATAGCCTAACCACCAGTCAAGCAACATTATGGACTAAACGTTCAAATCCTGTTGCTGCAGGATTATTTTGCTGCGACAATACTGGTCAAAATAAGATCCAACACCTGTACGCAATTTTTCTCTCCCTTTCGCTCTCTCTACCCTCCCTCTCTCTCTCCTATTCTGCTGTAGCTATTGCAATCATTTGTTTAGTCATCTACAGTGGTTTCGCAAAAAAATGAACTTCACAGAGAAAACTATATTCAGTGTGTGTCCATGAATAGGATGAGGGTAAACCACAAGCAGCAACACATGCACACAACCGACACACATACGAATGAGAATACATACTTGGCTGCACGACCATACAGTATCTTCTGATGATCAAACATACAGTGCCTTGCAAAAGTATTCATCCCCCTTGGCGTTTTTCCTATTTTGTTGCATTACAACCTGTAATTTACATGGATTTCTATTTGGATTTCATGTAATGGACATACACAAAATAGTCAAAATTGGTGAAGTGAAATTTAAAAAATAATTTGTTTCAAAAAACTATAAAAAATAAATAACGAAAAAGTGGTGCGTGCATATGTATTCACCCCCTTTGCTATGAAGTCCCTAAATAAGATCTGGTGCAACCAATTACCTTCAGAAGTCACATCATTAGTTAAATAAAGTCCACCTGTGTGCAATCTAAGTGTCACATGATCTCAGTATATATACATCTGTTCTGAAAGGCCCCAGAGTCTGCAACACCACTAAGCAAGGGGCACCACCAACCAAGCAGCACCGTGAAGACCAAGGAGCTCTCCAAACAGGTCAGGGACAAAGTTGTGGAGAACCGATCAGGGTTGGGTTATAAAAAAATTACCGAAACTTTGAACATCCCACGGAGCACCATTAAATCCATTATTAAAAAATGGAAAGAATATGGCACCACAACAAACCTGCCAAGAGAGGGCCGCCCACCAAAACTCACGGACCAGGCAAGGAGGGCATTAATCAGAGAGGCAACAAAGAGACCAAAGATAACCCTGCGGAGATTGGAGTATCTGTCCATAGGACCACTTTAAGCCATACACTCCACAGAGCTGGGCTTTACTGAAGAGTGGCCAGAAAAAAGCCATTGCTTAAAGAAAAAAATAAGCAAACACATTTGGTGTTCACCAAAAGGCATGTGGGAGACTCTCCAAACATATGGAAGAAGGTACTCTGGTCAGATGAGACTAAAATTGAGCTTTTTGGCCATCAAGGAAAACGCTATGTCTGGCGCAAACCCAACACCTCTCATTACCCCGAGAACACCATCCCCACAGTGAAGCATGGTGGTGGCAACATCATGCTGTGGGGATGTTTTTCATCGGCAGGGACTGGGAAACTGGTCAGAATTGAAGGAATGATGGATGGCGCTAAATACAGGGACATTCTTTCGGGAAACCTGCTTCAGTCTTCCAGAGATTTGAGACTGGGACGGAGGTTCACCTTCCAGCAGGACAATGACCCTAAGCATACTGCTAAAGCAACACTCAAGTGGTTTAAGGGGAAACATTTAAATGTCTTGGAATGGCCTAGTCAAAGCCCAGACCTCAATCCAATTGAGAATCTGTGGTATGACTTAAAGATTGCAGTACACCAGCAGAACCTATTTCAACTTGAAGGAGCTGAAGCAGTTTTGCCTTGAAGAATGGGAAAAAAAATCCCAGTGGTTAGATGTGCCAAGCTTATAGAGACATACCCCAAGAGACTCGCAGCTGTAATTGCTGCAAAAGGTGGCTCTACAAAGTATTGACTTTGGGGGGGTGAATAGTTATGCACGCTCAAGTTTTCTGTTTTTTTGTATTATTTCTTGTTTGTTTCACAATAACAAATATTTTGCATCTTCAAAGTGGTAGGCATGTTGTGTAAATCAAATGATACAAACCCCAAAAAATCTATTTTAATTCCAGGTTGTAAGGCAACAAAATAGTAAAAATGCCAAGGGGGTGAATACTTTCGCAAGCCACTGTAAGGGCAAGTTTTCTATATGTTGCTTCTTGGCTTCTCAGCAACACTCCCTAACCCCTTTGGCAGAACCAGGCATTACTGTCATTTATTTTTAGTGGTCCCAGAAGAGTGGATGCATTTGGACTGCCCTCTATAATTAATCTGATTGCCTGTGAGAGGAATTCATCATAAGAATCTGTGGGTATGATGACACTTGTGCTGTTTCCAGCGGAAAAGGGGTGCTATGGCAGGGAGGGGATGGACAGATGCACACAAGTTCTTCAATGTGATTGAGGTAGTATGTCTCGATAAGAAGGCAAAGGCGTGCAGGGGAGTGGCAGGAGTTGCGAGTACCTGTGGAACGAGCTCCGTGGCATCACTGATTCCCAGCAGCTCGTAGAAGTGAACTTTGATGGGCTGGGCAGTAAAGTCACCTCTGCTGCCATCTATTTTGGGCTTGAATTTCACTGTGTGGAGACGGACCACACAACCATCCATATTCACAGGCTCTTTATTTACCCTGCAGTAATGACAACAACAACAAAAAATACTTGTCATGTTATCATTCAAGTAGAAGCTAACAGCTAATTAGCTAGCTAGTGTGTGATACGAGCTATGTCACTTACTTGCCTGCTGCTTGTAGCCTACAAAAACTCCAATGTTACGTTATGGTAACTATGGAAACATTGTGACCGACTGTGCCTTCTGGGAATTGAAGTCGAAGAAATTTTACACCGCAAAAGAGGCGAACTAGAATCTCACTGAGAAGTGACCTGTGGGGTCAGATAGCGTGTCTGAGTGAGCCATGCAACCTCGCGTTTGCATTTTTATTAATTCAAATAGTACATTTAATGGAGTAAAAACCAACCCAACTGCCCGAACAAGCACCAGGGTGGTCGTCATGAGAGCTTACAAGGTTTGTCTCTCTGCCTTTCGATTGGCCGTGGTCGTTATGAAAAGGGAGTGGCATCGTAGCCCGTGAGCTATGACGTCAATGGAGCTGTTCAAAGTGTAGTGGTGCTGGAAGGAATCTCACTCAGTCCATTATCAGCATAGGCTCCGCGGCCATAAAGTGGACTGGATTTGAGAGCATCAAAGGCTATTATCACGGTTCAGAGGGGAAGAATACCGAAGAGAAATAGTATTCCACCTGTTTGAATAAATCGGCGAGATCTGAAAGAAGTGAGTAGCTATTCTGAATCGCATGATTTGCGAGGGAGCAAGGGTTGGGTTCATGAAGACATTTGGATTTTAGAACATCTTGAGCACGTTGCGATAGTAGGAATTTTTCTTTGCTCTTGTGAATTCTCAACCATACACAAACGGTCCTTATTGGTTACTTCGGGTCACCTCTAGCCTATAATAGCTTTATTGGTGCGTTTTTGTCTTTGTTAATCCGCTCCTTTCACCTCAATGACTATTGCATACACAATGAGATGATTTGACTGGTATTTGCATATATCCCAATGATCGAATGTTCAAGGCACATCGAGTGTGTGTGTGTAAAAGACGAGGGAGAGCGAGAGAGAGAGAAAGGGAGAGGTTGTTCCTTTCACATAGATTAGTCTAGTAAATCAAACTCATGGAATTAAACCTTTTTTATGGGCGCACCGTTTCATATAGCCTACTCTTCGTAATTGTCTCTCCACATATGATGTTATCTTCAACATGGTTGTAAAGGGGGGGGGGGGGGGGGCTGTCTATGCGAAGTCACTTGGACATAGTGGCTAGGAGAAGTCACTTGGACATAGTTAGAAAAATATACCCTTTTATGACAAGTCATAATAACAGTTTGCATTCAATTATTAGGCCTAGATATCAACACTGTCTGCACAGAATTGTAGCCTACACTCTTTCCAAAATGGTTATTTGCGTGGGATAGGGTTCGACAAGAACCGTTTTTATCTGAAGAGCCCTTTTTGGAAGCAGTGGGTTCTTTGTAAGGCAAAGGGTTCTACCTATAACCTTTTTCATCCCAATAACCGTTTTTGGAAGAAAGGGTTCTTTGATGATTCTTTGGAAGGCATGAAGGATTCTTTGGAAAGCAAGAAGGGTTTTACGTACGTACAATAGAACACTTCTGAATCTTAATAAGCTTTTTTGTTGTATTTTTTTTTCTTTTAAGTAGTGCCTGAGCATAGTGTTTACCTCAGTGTTTAAACTTGAACATCAGGAGTTTGAGTAATCTTAAAAAGATAGGTGTGAACATGTTTTAAACTGTACCAATAAAGGAATATTTGTAGGCTAAATGTATCTGGTATTCCCTTAAAAATACATTACTGACATAGTTGATATCTTTGCCATGGTTTCTTTCTTTAAAATGAGTATTTTCTGTGATTTTATTGAGCAGAGAGTAGGAGAATAGAAGGGAGTATGAGTGAACCAGCAGGGTATTGTACTGTAGGGTACACAGCAAATTGACCAGTTTGACCTCATGTTGATTATTCAGTGTAACATTCAGGAGTTAAATTAACTTAACACTCAGTGGCGTAAAATATCCCATAACCATAGTTGAGTGTAGAGTAAAACACTCAAAACCACACCCATCATTATCATATTTCCCAGCATGCTCTATTGCAGGTTGATTTTCAGAATTGTTTGTTTCAAGATCTGTGTTTTTGCATGTAGATTGATTAGTTCATTAATCTTATGCTATACAAAGATAGATAATATACATTTTTCTAAATTAATCCAAACTGTTAGTAGTTGGACTTATTGCACCCATTACTGAGATTGTTGTTCCAGTTTAAATGATTTACGTACTCTCATTAATTTACTTTCCCTACCCTGGCAGTCGTTTTGTAAGCAGGTTTACCATTTACAGAAGGTTCTATGAATAACCCTTCATAGAGGGTTCTAGGTAGAACCCTCTGGAAAGGGTCCTACCTAGAACCAAAAATGATTCCCCTATGGAGACAAGCCGAAGAACCCTATATGGTTATACTAAGCACCTTTTTTTCTAAGAGTGTATTGAAATAGGCTAGTGTTATTGACTGAACATGACTACTGATTTAGCCCCCATGTTTGCTGTAGATTCAGTGGAAACGCAATCTTTGATTTCGGATGGTGATGTCATTCCAATGATAGGTGTGGCACAGCCGCTGTGCACAGACTGCTCTCTATGTCGGTGCCCGTCTCTGATCCTCTCTGTTTGGCTAATATGGTGAAATAGAGTCAGGTGCTATAAAACTCTCTCTCTTCCTCCTTTCTCGTGGATAGAGGCTCAAAGCTGAGGTGACAAGGGGGGAGCATGAGGATGCTGGTAGCTGATAGGCCTAAGTGTGTCCCATTAATTAAAACACAACCTGCAACTCGAAAACAAAACAATTGGGCCACTGATGGCCAAGTGTGGTAGGCTAAGTTCAAAATGTGGGTAAAAGAAAATACAGGCATTCAATCTTCAAAGTAGTCTATAATTGGATATAACTGAGTGGGTCTGCTTTCACTTTATCACAGACCTGCCCAGTGTATATCTGGCTTGCCTATTGAATGCCTATCTAACCACTGTTCAATAATGAACCAGGTGGTTGGGCCGGATGGGGGTTGATAGGCCTTGCGCAGGGGATACAGGATACTTCAGGATTCGGTTTCTTTTAAGTGTAACCTACGAAAAGTGCATATGCCTATATTACGATCTCATGAGTAAGTGACAGCCAAATGTAAATAAGAGGCCAGTGACGGTGGTGACAGAAAAGCATGAATGTTCAGTGTCATTGTCTTCAATACATAGGCCTTTTGTGTGTTTTTGTCCATGCAGCTCCACCCAAAATATATATATATATTTTTTCATTCGTGTTAGTAATCAAGTTTTCAAGATATAGGACAAAAAGCAAATTGTCACCTCCTACGTCATCATGTATCATGTATCAACAGTGGACTAATGGAAAAAGACCAAGTGTTTTTTGAGTGGATTTTTCCTTTAAGTGCTATCAAGTGAGGCTGAATAAATTGTCACGACTCGGTACATGGAAATGCTCTGTTGTGTATCCTGCAAGCAGGCGTATCCTGCAAGCAGGCAATTTTCTCAGCAAGAGGATGCAATCACTAATCAAAGGCATTGTCAAATGCTTTTAGCAAAAGAGCAGCAATACGACACTGGTCCCAGTGTGAACCTCTACAGTCTTGGTGCCAAATAGTCGTTCCTGAGCATCAAGAGGGGATGGGGCCCTCTGCCATTCTAGGCCTATACTGCTTTCACTTTTTATGACACTGAGCAAGTTGACAAGGCTCTCTCTCCCTTTAGGCCCATACACTTAGAAAAAAAGGTGCTATCTAGGACCTAAAAGGGTTCTTCTACTGTCCCCATAGGAGAACCCTTTGAAGAACCCTATTTGGTTCCAGGTTGAACCCTTTTGGTTCCAGGTTGAACCCTTTTTGGTTCCATGTAGAACCCTTTCCACAGAGGGTTTTACATGGAACCCAAAATAGTTCTACCTGGAACCAAAAAGGGTTCTCCTATGGGGACAGCTGAAGAACCCTTTTGGAACCCTTTTTTCTAAGAGTGTACCTTCTTCCTACTTTCTTTCATTTACTCCATTCTGACCATCTGCTTATTTTCAGCATACATTATCTCTCCATCCAAGTCTGTTTGTCTTTCACTCTCTCCTCTCTCATACAACAATGTTGTAGGTTGTCAGTGTTGTGTAGCCTGGTGCTCCCGTGGATGTATTATTATAGAAAGTGTAATGGTCCAAAACTCAGCAAAGCTGGCTCAATTTAGTCTAACCCACGTCACAGTATTGACACAGCAAACTAAATCACATAAATAAATCATGTAAGAATACCTGAAAATACTTCTCTCAATGCCTCCACTTTTCATCATAAGACATGTTGGTTCGGACAACAAACATAATGCAAAAATATTTTCCAGTTCGATTTATTTGAATACCGATGTATGATTCTTCATAGATTTGAGCAGTTACACAAACTATAAACCCCACTTTAAACACTCAGGCCTAAGAACAGATGATTTACTGCAGGTTTATTAGATACACATGACCCCTCCGATTCTATGGCATTTAGAAAAGATTACAGACATCTCAGACGTCATTCAGAGTGAGCACTCAAAGAACACACAGGGAAGGAACGATATAACACAGTTCAATTGATGATCCCAGACAGTACAGCAGATTTGATTTGTGTGCTCTAAAATCTGATTTCTTCAGATTAAAGTAACTGTACAGTGTTTACAGATTTCTCTGAAATATGACCTATAATGAATTACAATATGAGTGAAATAGTTGGTAATTAAGTATGTTATAATGCAGCTTTTCTGTTGGAATGGTGTGGGTGTACCCCAACAACCGAATGGTGTGGGCGTATACCGGTCATTCAAAATATGAATGCGAGTAGACCGCTGATTAGCCAGCTCATCCTACTCAGGATGACATCATCCTCTATGAGGAAATAGCAAGCATTTTTTGAACGGTCTGTTTGAGATACAAGTTTATGGTGCGGTTTTGGAAGTGCTTTTTCTCCAATGTATGCTTTGGCCACAA